CCTCTTAAAACTTGCCAGGCATCCCAAACATTCCCAAATTCAAACATCCAGAATTCCCACAATCCAAACATCCATTGGGAACCTCCTCTTTTCACTCCTTAAAGACTCTCATGTGTCAAAGATCCAAAGATCTCCAAGGAGAGCCCCAAAAATGGAAGCCCAGCAGGGCCGTGAGCCCCCGTGGGCTGCAGGGATGGAGGTGGGCGAGTGCAGGTAGGATTAGAATGGACGTCTTAAAACATTCCCAAATTCAAACATCCAGGCTTCCCAAAATCCAAACATCCATTGGGAAGCTCCTCTTTTCACTCCTTAAAGACTCTCATGTGCCAAAGATCCAAAGATCTCCAAGGAGAGCCCCAAAAATGGAAGCCCAGCAGCCCCTGTGGGCTGCAGGGATGGAGGTGGGCGAGTGGGGGGAGGATTTCGGGTACTTACCCTGGATCTGACTCTGAGGCTGAGGGTTAAAAGCTGTGCTGTGGTTCAAGGAGGCTCGAGGGTTGGGTGTGGGGGCTGGGTGGTGTGGGCTGACCCTCATGGCCGTGCGACGCAACTGCTCCAGCTCGCTCAGGCGCTCAGAAAAGGACAAGCTGCCGGGCTTTGTCTGCTCATCTATTTTCTGACGATGTCCTAGTGTGGGGAGGGGGGGGAAAAAGATCAGAAAAGCTCACTTGGTACATGAGGTCGGTTGGTTTTGGTTTATTTTTATTTTTTTTTTCCCTTGTTCTTTCAACCCCTGATTTGCTGGTGAAGGTGCTAATCTGGGACTGTCTGAAATGAAATTGAAATCACCTCTAAAGCATTGCAGGGGCAGGTTGAGATGTGCCCTAGGCTGAAGAACCAGAGGCACCGAAAATTTCAGGGCCTTTCTACCCTTCCCATGGTTTGTAAAAGGAGGAAACGGCCCCTGTGCTAAACCTGCACTGGGATAACTCCTCAAAAATTCCATTCCATCCCAGATTGTCACCAGGCACCACAAGCAGACAAGTACTACGGGGCTATAAAAAAAACCAAAAACAAATCAAATCCTCGTTTTGGCTTCTTTTGCAATAGTTTTATGGACAGGAATGGGAAATAAACACTGGCAGAACTGAAACTGGGATAATGAGGTTTCCCTTGGTGCCTCTGGGAGCTTCAGGAACCCACCAGACCCGCAGCTCCAAGAGAGGAAATGCTGAATGTGGAGGGCACAGGAGACTTGGGCACGGCCATGTGGGAATTACAGGGCCCAGCACTTCCCAGAGCAGCCCTTGGAGCACATTCCCCACAAAGCTCCAGGGCTGGGAGGGGACAGGGAAGGTCCCAGAGTGCCAGGACAGCATCAGGACACATCCAGACTCAGCTGGTGACACATTTCTACCTTCCACTGTCCCAGGCTGCTCCAGCCCCAGTGTCCAACCTGGCCTTGGGCACTGCCAGGGATCCAGGGGCATCTGGGAATTCCATCCCAGCCCTGCCCACCCTGCCAGGGAACAATTCCCAATTCCCAATCTCCCACCCAGCCCTGCCCTCTGGCAGTGGGAGCCATTCCCTGTGTGCTGTCCCTCCATCCCTGGAAATTGTCTCTCTCCAGCTTTCCTGGGGCTCCTCCAGGCCCTGCCAGGCCACCCTGAGCTCAGCCCAAAGCTTCTCCTGTGCAGGTGAACAATCCCAGCTGTGCCAGCCTTTTCCAAGGTCCCAACCCTGAGGCTGCCAGAGCTCCAGGAGCCTTTGGGCAGCGCTGCCAGGGATGCCCAGGGTGGGATTTTGGGGGTCTGGGCAGGGCAGGGCTGGCACTGGGGGATCCCTGGGGCTCCCTTCAGCTCAGGGCACTCCACGATTCTATTCTATGATTCCATGAATTCTGCACATTGGATTTGTCTCAGGACATCAGCTGCCTCGAGGATCTTTGTGCCATATCTTTTGTCCTTCTTCTGTCCTGCTGCCCTGCCAGGAATGCAGCCCAAATCTCAAACATCTTCATTTTCCTACTTGTTCCTTTGAAGAAACAGGGGGATTTGTGACAAGAAAAGGGGGAATGGCCTTAAGGTAAAGGAAGGCAGGGTTAGATGAGATACTGGGAATTGGGAATTGTTCCCTGGCAGGGTGGGCAGGGCTGGGATGGAATTCCCAGAGCTGGGGCTGCCCCTGGATCCCTGGCAGTGCCCAAGGCCAGGTTGGACACTGGGGCTGGAGCAGCCTGGCACAGTGGGAGGTGTCCCTGCCATGGCAGGGGATGAAATAAGATGTTCTTTAAGGTCTTTTCCAACCCAAACCATTCTGTGATTATATAAAAAATAGGCATTATTTTTTTTTTTTATCCACTATTCCTTATTCCACACTGCCCCCTTAACTTTTAATCCATAAACATTCCTAAAAATCCCACTCTCCATGTAGAGTATCACTGAATAAGCAGCAAAAAGTTCTCTGCAGAGCCCTGCAGGCCCCTTCCCCTACCGAGAACTCATTCAAGCCACCCTGACAGCTCAATCAAGACACAGGCCCGTTTTATGCACTAAAAGGAAAATGTGCATTTAAAAGCAGTTCCCAGTAGCTGCATTTCTAAAATTAAATTTTATAACTCGTCTTATGGTTCCAAATCTCAGTGGCTCGGCATTTCTTCCCTTTGCCAGGCCCTTTGGCACAGCTTGAACTGTCTCAGATTCCACACTGTGCTGTAAATTATCCCAAGGGGAGGGGGAGGAATTAAAATATAAAAAGACATATTATATAGCAGTGGTTTCATCATTAAAGAGACCCATTAGGGCTTAAAAAAAATAAAAAGAAATAAAAAAGGAGGGGAGAAGCAAAGACAGATGAAAAGGACTTTTATCTGACACTCTGGTTGGTCGGGAGCAAATGTTGCATTTGTCAGCAGAGAAAAGCTGGAAGTTCCTCCAGCTTTGGGCTCCTGACCTGGATGTGAACGCCAACATGTGGAGTCACACAAGATGTGTAAAATACCTCATCCATGGGGATTATTTGAAGCTGCAGCAGGCTCAGCCCAGGGCTGGCAGAGCTAAGAGCCACATCCTTCCAACTGCAGCCCCACGCTGGCGTTTATTCCTGATTTGGGATTCTCCCCAAACTCCTCCTGGTTTGCAAGGAGAGCAGGAAGGCCAAGTCTGACCCCCTGGGAGTCCCCTTCCCCTCCTGGACCCCGCAGGGCCAGGCTGCTGGGAGATCTCTGCCTGTCTCACAGAGCCCCCAGATCCCTGAGGTTGGAAATCCAGGATCCCATGGAGCCCCAGCTGTGCCCAGTGCCCTCCTTGCCACATCCGCTGGGCATCTCCAGGGATGGGCACCCCAAACCTCCCTGGGCAGCCCATCTGAATGTTTAACAGCCCTGTCTGGGACAAAATTCTTCCTGGTGTCCAAAATTCCTCCTGATTTCCATGATATTTTCATGCCCTGCATCCACTGAGCGAAACTTGGACCTCCCCACCCCTTCCCGTGCTGCCCCAGAGCAAAATCTGAATTTTGGGGGCGTTCCAGCCTCCTGCGTGGAGCCTTTTCCACAGCCTGGGATTCCCAGGAGTGCAGGGACCCAGCCAAGATCTGTCTCATCCCTTGAATTTGTGGGGATTCCACCTGTGCCAATGCGAGGGAGAAAGAGCAGCACCAACAGGTTCTTCCTCAGGAGAACCCTGCTGCTTTTGTGGCTGCATTTTAATCTGGAGTGGGAAACGCTCTGAATCGAGGCCAGGCAATTGTCACCTCAAGATGCAGCTCCAAAACTGCCTCAGCATTTTAATCTGGAGTGGGAAATGCTCCGAATCAAGGCCAGGCAATTGTCACCTCAAGATGCAGCTCCAAAAGTGCCTCTGCATTTTAATCTGGAGTGGGAAATGCTCCGAATCAAGGCCAGGCAATTGTCACCTCAAGATGCAGCTCCAAAAGTGCCTCTTCACCCTCCCTGTCCCCAGCCAGAAAATCTATTTATTTTTTCTCCTCCTCTGGCTGCACAGAACCTGTCTGGCACCAAAGCTCTGCAGGGGAGAAGTGAAGAAGCGTGTCAGGAAAAGGTAACAAATATAAATATTCCTCCCAAGCCACTCTCCAAGCACAGGCAGCCCTTTGTGAGGGCCACCTGTATTTTGGTGTTTATTAGCTGGGCTTTGAAGTTCCCCTCTAAACACCTTGCTGGAGCAGGCAGGATATCCTCAGCTGACCCCTGGGGAAGCAGCACTGTTATTAACCCTTTTTTCCAGGTGGAAAATGGGATGCCAGAGAAATGAGGTGCCGTGCCCAGGGCCAGGGGGTGACCCTGGCTGCCAGCCCCGGCGTGCCAGAGCTCACCCCCAGGTCGAGGGTGGCTCCGTGTGCTGGGAAAATCTTTCTTTTAACCTGTGCTTTTAAAGAAAGGCTCAGTAGTTTTTTGCTGTCTGGTCTCAGAGTGCTTTATTGCATGTTATCTAAAAGATTGTCTCCTCGAGCTGCTGTGGTTTGCTCAGCAGCTCGAGCAAAGGCAAACACACCTTTAGACATTTTTTCTGGTTTTTGTATTTTTCTTTTCTCCCCCTGCCTAGGGCTGGTGTTATTTTTCATATGGTACATTACATGTTACATGTTTATAGTTTTTTTTCAATGCCTATTACATATATTAAATTATGATTTTCTATTTTTTATATAGTACATTACATGTTACATGTTTATAGTCTTTTTCAATGCCTATTACCTATATTAAATGATGCTTTTCCATCTTTTATATGGTACATTACGTGTTAAATGTTCATAGTTTATTTTTTCAATGCCTATTACCCATATTAAATGATGATTTTCTATCTTTTATATGGTACATTACATGTTAAATGCTTATAGTTTTTTTTTCAATTCCTATTACCTATATTAAATGGTGCTTTTCTACTTTTAACTAATTTGTGAGTGCCAACATCGCCAAGAACATGGAGGTAAGGAAGGAGAAAGAGGGAGGACAGGGCAGGCTCAAATCTCTTTATTTTAAAACTTTTGACCCTTATATATAAAACTAAAACCCCCTGTACAGGACCTAAACCCCCTGTACAGCACTCAAAAATTCTTCCCTCTACTTTGTGACTACTTCTACTCTAATATCTAAATTTTTGTGACTTCTTGTTCTTCCTGCAAGGTTGGTAAATCATTCCATGGTTCAAACCCAAATTCCCAGCTGTTTGCAGCTGCCTGCCAGGGTCTCAAATGCTTCTGACCTGGGCCCAGAACATCCAAAAATTTTGATTTCTGACACTGGGAGGTGGCCACAAGCCCGGGGCTCCTTTTTCCAGGGTGACAAAGAGCAGCAGGAAGGGGTTTGGAAGCTGCCTTGGCTCTGCTGAAACATTTTGGCCACAAATCTTTTCTGAAAATCTCTCAAATTTCCAGCTGTTGAAGGGAAGCCTTGGCATGTTGGAATTTGTGGTATTGATGATTCTGAGATTGTAGAAAGTTTTTGGTTTTTTGCTTTGCTGTTAAAGAAGAAGTTATAATTTGTTCGTGTTGGTTGTTAAGGTTGTTTATTTTTGTTTATTTATAACGTGTTCTGCTGCCCTGCTGTAGGTTTGTCTTGCAGGGCAGCGTGTGGGGCTCTGCCCCTCAGTGGGATGTTATAAACATTAAATATTAGAAATTATGTGGGTTATATTTACAATAATGTGTTAATATTTATTATTTTTGTT